GGAATAGTCTGGTCAAGTGTAATGAGCACTGTGGAATGGAACAAAAAAGAGGAGCTTGTAGCAGAGCAAGCCATCAAGCACTTGAAGGTATTACAGTTGTTCTGCTTTTAAGTGAGAAGAGGTGATCTGTCACTACTTCTTCAATGGGATTGATTCTTACCCTGTGGTGCGTGGGGGTACCACATCAGTAGTAAATGGATATATAACCTCTATTGATATTTACCAACTGATAATGCTTTAACAGTTATTTGACCTTTTGGTTCACAAGTTAGAAACCAATGTAGTTGTTACCAGGTGCCGTTGAGTCAAATACGATTCATAGTGACCCTGTGAACAATGAATCTGAACTCTGCCCTATCCTGTGCCATCCTCAGCATCTTTGATACACTTGAGCCTATTGTTAATGGTCACTGTGTCAATCCATCTTTTGAGGAACTAACGTTATACTGATCTTCAGTCTGTCCAAGCAAAATGTCCTTTTCCAAGGATAGCCCCTCCTAATAACATGCCCAAAATACATAGCAAGTAATTGCAAAGACCATGGTTTGAATCAAGTGTCCCTAAGAACTGACATCATTGTTCCTTACCTTGTTTGAAGGGTGTAGTCAGATTTGGAGAAATGATACAGCCCTGAAGCACACCTTTTGTGATTTTAGCTACACAGTGTTCCTTTGCTCCGTCCAGACATTAGCTTTTTGTTCTTGGCTTAGGTTTTGCATTGGGATCATCTTTAGTAATATTTTACTTGCATGTAATAATTGTTTGATAATTTCCACATTCTGTTTGATCACCTGTTTTGGTAATGGAAATAATACGGGTCTCTCGAGTCAGTTTTCCAGTTAGGTGCCTTCCAAATTTCTTGGCACAGACTGGTGGGCATGTCCAGGGCTGCATCTTATTTTTTTAAATGTGTCAGTTGATAACCACATCAGCTCATGGAACCTTCTTTTTAGCCAGTGCTTTGGAATGCTACTTGAATTTCTTTCTTATTCACCATTGGTTCTTAGTCATATCCTGCTTCCTAAAATGAGTGCCTAATTTTTGATACAGTGGCTATATATTGCCTCCATCATCTTTTTTATTTTTCTATGAAGATTACAATTTTTTGTATTAATTTTAATAGACATTTACAGAGGTTTTGGATTTCCATTATTCATTGCCGCACTTTTCTCCCTGTCCACCCCTCCCCACCAGCTCGCTTCCCCCTCCGAAGAGAAAAGGAAAAAAAATTCCTTCATTAATATACAGTTCCCACATCCCTTCCCCCCCCCACCCCAAGTACACTTCTCTATGCAACCTTAATTCTGGATTCCTGTGCTAACCATAATAATCATACATCACTTCTAATCTGTTCTTCCCCTTATCTGTTTCAATACAATATACATAATTTATCCAATTTTTTCTGTGATACCCCCACCCTGATGTCAGGCCCATTCTACAACAGTGGCACCATGCAGTATTTGTCCCTTTGTGACTGAGATATTTCATTCAGCATAATGTCCTCCAGGGTTACTCACTTTGAATAATATTGCATGAGTTCCTTGTTTTTCAATGTGGCATAGTATTCCATTGTGTGGATATACCACAGCTTCTCTATCCATTTGTTTGTTGCTGGGCCCTTAGGCTGCTTCCAACTCTTTGCTATTGTAAACAAAGCTGCAGTAAACATGGGTGTGCATATATCTGCTTGGATGGCAGACAT